GGAAGGAGAGCTGAGGTATCCTCTCCCAAGCCCCACAGATTACGGATTGGATGGCCACTGACTCAAATGGGTGGTTTGACATCAGCTGTAGGTAGACACATGCATTTCTAAGCAGAGATGCCTAGTGTAATTTTAGATCCAAGGAAGTGTCCTTCCTTGGTCACAGCTGGCATCTCAATAAAAAACAAGTCTCCTTTAAGACCTGTGCAGGTGTGTCTACTGGAGCCACAAGAACAGTGTAAAATTCCTGTCTGTAGGCAAATTCTGCTAGAAGTGGCTAACCTTTGCCAGGAGCCTACCCTGTCTCTACAACCAATGGAGAGGAAGACGCACCTCGAGAGAGATTCAGTCTTAAAGGATGTCTGAGACATTTGCCCTGTCCTCACTGACCACGGGACAGGACTGGATGACAAGTGTAAACCAGGTAGCCTGTAAAAGCAAATGCAAAATGAAACAAATCCAAAAAAAAGATAAAAGATAAAAGCAATCGTGAAGTGCTTCCATAGGTCTAGAACTCAATCTTACGCTCAGCAAAATCGATAGCTGACTTCATTAGGAGAAGATTCATATCCCCTCACCACAGTGAAACTATATGATGTATTGATTGCTGTTCACCCAATATGTGAAATATGTGATCAGCTAAATGCTAATATAGACAAACATCTCATTAAAATAAGGGTTTGGTTTACACTGTAAAAAATGAGCAATTGATAAATAGGATGGGTTAAGTCTGGCTACATCAGTTCAAAATAAAGCAGAATGCTAGCACCTCATGTTTGTATTTTGTCTACTAGTTTTAATTTAAATGTCAGGGGAACCTCGTGACTGAACTCAATCTGGAAACATCACAGCTCTAAATGGCTTTGTTTTCACAGCTACTTTCACCCAGATAAGAATCCTGGTTTAGCCAATGTGGGTTACATCCCTGTCTTTTGTTTTGCTTTGTTTTCACTGCAGACATACCCTAAGTGCTGTGCCACGGTATGAACGAACAAGGGGGAAAAAAAAAGGGTGTTAAAAATTTACTCCAAACTCTCACACTGCCTTGTCTCTAGTAAGTGAATAAGGACAGATGAAAAACCTACTGCAAATTACATAGCTGACTGACTTAGGACTGTTTTATTTCCAAAAGAAGAATGGAACTCAGTTTTCAAAGATATTTAAATGTCTTGTAGCATTTTAAAACGTTTCACAACAAGGCAGAAGCAGAAATCCAACTGAAATTAATTTCAGTCATGTGTTCATCTTGTTTAGCCACTTAAGCATTGATCCACACCCTCAGGAGACTGAACTCCTTTGAAAAGGCCGTATTTCACTCAGGTGGCAGCCTATGTCTCACTGAAAGCGAAACTCAGCCTTCTGACAGACAGCCTTCATTTGTTTTAGCCAGACACCAGGTTTCCCCAACAGTCCTTCCAGGCATCCAACTCAGACTTAGCATGACTAAATATCCTGATAACCATGGCTGTTATTGGCCAAGTCATTTCTGGAAAACAGGAATCTGCAGTGCCTAAATCCATATTTGAGTGACTTTTAGAAATTTCATAGCCTAAAAATTCCTGACTAGCAACAGTGATTTTCAGAGGTTACATACCGTATCACCAGGACAAAAGAAACAGACTTGGTGTCCTTCAACCAGCCCCTTACTTTTGTTACGAAACTTGTCTTGGAAGAAGGAAGACAACCCAAACACTACCTCCAAACAATTCGTTGATACTCAGGTTTTCCATTAAAATAAATCCTGATATTTTATATATGAAAAGTATTATGCCCTACATTTACTGAAAAATGTTATCTAAAAGAGAAGAGGAAAGATCTCCCCATTTAAAGAGCAATTTTAACAAAAATAGCAGAAATGGTTTGCAATAGATGTGGAAAAAGGTCTAATTTTAACTGTGGAAAACCAAAGCAATTTTAATGCTGGTAGATTTTTTTTTCAAAACTGAATTTCTTCTCTTTTTTTAAAAAAAAAAAAAAAAAAAAAAAAAACAACAAATTAATAGCCTGTAAGTGATACTGAAGTATATCAGATTATGCCCTCACTAAGGAAAGCATTATAAGGAAAAAAAAAAAAAAAAAAAAGGACTTAGTATTAGGGTACTTCATATAGTATCTTTTAGGTAGCTTTTAACAATAAGAATATTGACATCCTAATTTAGAAGACAGGATTTTAAATGACAAGTCCATACCAATGTGTTCCTTTGTCCAGCCCTGTAGTGTATAAATATCCACACCTCAGGACACCCATAGGTATAGACACACGTGTTTCTGTATACTCACACATGCATTTTTTGTTCTTTCTACAGATGCACACCAACATATCTAAATTTTCACCAGCCTGGACTGTATTAACTGAGGATAAACGGGCAGACAAACCACTGTTTTGCCAGGTCTGGGCTGGCACACAGCATGCCGCTACACCTGCTCTCTGGCCCAGGACTGAGCTGCACATGAAATGCCTGCAGCAACACCAGGATCTACCAGCTGGTGATGGGAACGTGATCCCTCTGGAGAAAGCTCAGCATCTTGCAGAACGAGGCTGAAAGTAAAATAGTCACTAAGAAATGAGTAGTCTCTGCTTCACTGTTCAGTCTCCCTTTTCCAGCTACTCCACTGCTGCAGCTACTTTGTGCTTTGTTGTTGCACTTTCGAGTAATTTTATTCCTGGAAACTAACACGTAGGATGATTTGTATCTGTTAGTCTGGCTAGAGAAAAGACACACCTGCAGGGGCTTTTGCTTCCTTCCTGTTCCATTCTTCATAAAGCCAATTAAGTACATTAGGACTTCAGAGATGTCTCATACAGAGGCCATTTCAGATAAGATGACTCAAACGTGGGCAGAGGAGCTTATTCCTCCCCTCCCGCCACGGCAAACAAAGCAGCTTTACCTGAGGGAAGGAAGGAAAAAAGAGAATTCCTTTGCCAGGATTTCACCACGAAAGAGGAACACAGCTAATGAGTCCATCACTACACATCTCACCATGCAGAAACACTCTCAGGTAATCATGTATCGTGCAAATGCCCAGCATGAGGCAAAAGGGCTGTTGACCACGGTGGAGGAAGAATGGCACCAATACTAATTTCAATATAAATTACTTTATAAAATTGGTTGCATAGAGTTCTGGATATGGGGCTGGCCTCACATATTCCTCTTCACGTGACAGCAGTATTCCAAGACTGCTTTCTCTTTGCTGGATGCTACTTCTCATTAAAGTATTCCAAAAGAAGTGGTAAAGAACCATCACATCCAAACTGTCATTTATTTATTCTTCATTGTCTGTCCCCTCCTCCCATCCATAAAATGACCAGTTACACACCTTTGCAATGCGCTGCCTGGAGGAACAGCAGCTGTTGCATGTGTCACCTTCTCTAGTTTGCTGTGGGTGATTACCTCATACTGTGTTTCCTGGATTTTAATCTACGTAACAAGGACCACCATGTGGAAATCCCAGGATGACTGCAGAAGGGTGTAGGGGGCAAAGAAAGGGATTCAGCTGCACAATTAATTGTCTTGAATTAGTTCTTATCAAGATACTGGAATAAGTATTTTTTCTTCCTTAGCTTTCGGACTGATTCAACTCCTGTCAGAAACCTGCAGGTCTGACAGCACATTCCACATGCCCCCCAGAAGCCCTGTGAAGGCAGATGTCACACAGACACAAGCAGGGTGTGAAATACCGTCCTTGATGGGACTTCTCCATGTCTTACCCTTAGCGTGTCTGTGAGGAAAAGAAGGTTTTCCAGCCTCCCACTGAAACCATGCAGCACAAAGAAAATGGGCAGGATTCAGTATTGTTCCCAATCAGGACAGGACAGAAGACCTTAGAAAAACAGGGGAGAAGAATTGGAAGTACAGTATTTCGCATTTTTTAAACTTGTTCCCTTAATGTTCCTCCTTGTAAACAGGGTTGATTATTTATTAACGTTTTTAGACGTGACATCAGACCTCTCTCTGTTTAGCTTTGAGGAAGATAATTCCAATTCCTACAAACAGGAAATGCCAATAAATCTTTCATGCAGTTTTGGGTCTTTATTTTTGAGTAGTTGGATTTTTTTTTTCTTTTTTAGAAGAACTGGCAGAAGGTGTGTCTTATTTTAAGACCAGACTATTGCTTTTTCTTGTCTATGTACTTGGTCACACCAGCAACAGTGTTTAACCTCAGCACGTGTTAATCCTCCATATGGCATGAGCAGGTATATGCTGCATTTCTAACATTTCAGACAAATACGGAGCACCTAAGTCCTAGCAGCTCCTAAAACCCTTGGAGATTCAAGCTACTATTTTCCATGCTTCAGCTAGTTTTATGCTAGAGTATGCTGGGTCTACATAGCCAGCCTTATGGGATGGAGGTGAAAGAGGTGCACAGGAATGACATTTATTGTTGATATATATATTGTTGGAAAAGTACTGATAAGCCTAAAAGTTACAGTAAAAGGACAGGAGGTTGGGGGAAGGAGCTCAATGAGGACAGCTTTATTCGTCCTTACCCCATAACAGCTTCTCAACTGGTACAAATGAATGTAACACCACTGAAATCAATATATATATATATATATATATATCTCAATTCATATAATTTGAGAAATTGGCCAAGTTCGTTGTGATTGTTGTAAATGAGCCTGTAAGATAAATCAGGCATTTTGGTCTGATTCTTTCCCTCTGTCCTGTCCCAGTATCTGTAGAGCTAAGTGTTCAGCTACTTTACCTCTACTATACACAGTCCAGCTTTAGTGTAAAAGTGATGAACTAAATGGTTCCAGAGAAAAGCACAAATAAACATACGGACTTTGAGACATCCAGGAACCCACTGCAGAAACCATGTGTGCACGTGGATCCTATTTTGTGTGGAGCTGCGGAAGTAAACTGTGACTGCCAGGTTCTTGTGCAGAGAGTGAGGCACTGTGATTGCTGTCAGTGTTTCCTGTGCGGGGCAGTCTTATCCAGATGACGAAGAAGTTAGCAAAAAACGAACGTTAAAAAAATATTACAAGAAGAAAGAAGGACAGAAGAAAGGAATAAAGGAAGGAAGGTTAGGGGAGTAAGAGCAAGAAGAAATTGCATTGTCCATCAGATGAAATACTCCCGTTTGCACTCGCTCACTGTGTTCTGCAAGTCAATGTCAGCTTTAAAGGAGCTCTCGAGGTTTTCCGGGTATTCCTTCTCCTTTGTCTGGCTACTTCGATGTGCTTGTTTGTGCTGATAGAGGAACCTGCTCATGATGGCAATGATGCAGATGATGATGAATATCACAACTGCTATTACACCTGAAGAGGGGTAAAAAAGGAAGGACAGAAAGAGTAAAAACCAAGCCCCCAGTTACCACAAAAATACATTACCCAAGTGCAACAGCAAGTGGGTATGATACATGACGGATAGGTCACCTCAGCCTGCACATAGCCACCTGCCTCGATTACCCCCTCCCTGCTAGTTTATCTCTGTTTTGTTACCTTCAGGAAGACTTAAAGCAGCAAGCATTGATGTAATTGACCTAATTTCAGTCAAGTTCTGCTTTCACTAGAAGTAAAGTTGGATGTGTTTGTTTTTAGAAACCTGGATCCATACTCTCATACAAATTCCAGCTTTGTTGTACTTCCTTCTGTGTTATCTCTGGAAACCTTGCATGAGCCTTGTACACTTTCGTTTATAGCTTCTAGATACCATCAAAGGTAGCTCCCTACAGGGCATCCTCTAACATAAACAGAGATAAATTGCTTTCCAGGTTGTTAAAGGAAAATGAAAACCATACATGAAGCTATGAGGACAACTTTCCCTAGTATATAAATGCTTGCGTATGACGCAGCGAGTTGCATTACACCACCAGCTTACAAAGAGAGAGCTCAAGAAATGCAGGATATGTGAATGCCGTGCTGAGGCTCTCATCAGAGTGGTGTGTAAAGCCATTACTAGTCAGCTGGGTTTTAGATCACAGAATCATATGGAATCAGAGAATGGTTGAGGTGGGAAGGAACCTCTGCGGGTCATCTTGTCCAAATCTCCTGCTCGAGCAAGCAGATAGACAGAATTTGGTTATATTTTGAAGACTCAGGTGCTTTGACGATCCATGACGCCTTTTTTTGGGTGACATCCAACATCATGTGCCGCCACTACTGGCTTCATCCATAATGCAGGTGTCTATCTAGGTAGCTTGATACAGACATGTGCTAATAAATACAGCAAATACTAGACCTGCATTAGATTAGAAAGGATTTGAACTGGATTTTATGGGTCCCTGATTTAAAGTATCCTAGACGTTTGCCCTGACAGAAATATTTTTCAATTGTAATCTTTAAAAATGAAGTTACCTCCAATCACAGCTGAATCGCTTCTGACTGCATTGGTGAGAGGCTCTCTTTCATCTGTCTTCCCAAAAGGATCTGCAGTTGGTTAAACAAAACAGGACTTATTTTCTGTATCAACTATATTCAATTTCTCTGAGGCTTAGACACAAGCAGCCTCTTACCCTCATGAATTCTAATCTGTTTTCTAAAGATGTGATTTGGGGGGTTGGAGAATTGAACCAGGAACCTCTATGAAAAATAAAGCGAGCTTGCAGGACAATTTTCTTCACCATCTTCAGGAGCAAAGTCTGTTAAGCGTATATTTAAAAGGAAACAGAAAGGCTCACGCTAACATCTCAAGGTGGTGTCTCAGTTTACTGGTAGAAGAATCAGACACATTTGAACTAAACAGCCCACTGGCAGCTTTTCTCAGTCTGAGTTTTTGGGGTTTTTTTTGGGGGGGGGGGGGGGGGGTTGTTGGGGTTTTTTTTTTTTGGATACCTAAGAAACACTATCAGACAGAAGCGAAAGGAAAGGAAGATTAGACAGATTTAGACCTGACCTACATCTGTAGATGGAGATATACAAATCAAATTCAAACCCAAATTCAAGACAGCTTCTTGGAAGGGATGGTTTTCTCTCCACTGCAGAAATGCACTAGTCAAACTGGATTCAAAAGAGAGATGGATCAAAAATGAATTCCTGCATTAAAGGGTCCTCGATGCTGGGGCTCTCTTGTGCCCTATCTACAGATGATGACTGTTGAAACACTGGGCCAACCAGCGTGTCTGCTGGCTGTTCTGAATTTAGATCCAAACCTGAGAGGTCAAGCTCTCTCTGAAGTCAGTGAAGTTATAGCAGTGTACCTGCTTTAGTCCTGCATGTTGCAGAAAATGGCGTGTCTTCTACTGCCCGCTGAGTACAGCTTTTCTGCACCCTCACATTTTTTTTCCTTCCAGCTCACCCTCCCCTTTGACAAGATCCCTCTCTGTTTCTCCTTTAAAGCCTCCAGGCTATCATACAGGGGACGCACACAGGAGTTACGGATGACTGTCTCTGCTGTATATTACACTGCTTTGCCAAACTGATCCTTCCAATGTAAAAGGTGGAACCCTAACTGAGAAATTTGGTGTTGCAAGGTATATTGGAACTGCACATCTTTGCCTTAGCAGCTGACTCAGCCACATATTGATATCTCATTGCCCAAGAAAAAGATTTTTATTAAAACAAGCAACAGTTTCATGTTTGTGTATCAGGAGGTACTGAATTTGTAATGATGGTGGTTTTGGGCTATTTAGGTTCTTAAAAGGGGCACTATTTTCCTTATTCTCTACATCACTGATTCAAGCCTCAAAGATGTGCAGAAGGCATCAACCTCGAAGAGGCTTTCATGCTGTAAAAGGTGCAACTCTACTGCTAGTTTTAGGGGTGGAATGATTCCTCATCATGCACACCCATACTGAAAACTCAAGGTTCCCCATATCTGCAGCTCACTGATGGAGGTACAGGCACGAAAGGGACTTTTGGGGCCAACTGAACTCCTCCAGTACACCGACTATCGACATGAATGGTAACTCACTCTGGACACTCAAATTGAGACATCCTTACAACAGGCCCCTTGCTTGGATATCGGCTGCCCAGAGTGGTGTTGCCAAGAAATAAATAGTCATGTCAATGCTTCACCTCATTTACTACATGTGTGGGACTGGAATGGGGATAAAATTGTTGTTTTACACATAAATACAGACATGGCATCATCAAAAAGGTTAGGTTGGAAGGGGAAACCTGGAGGTTGTTTAGCCTAACCTCAAGCCTCTGAGCCTAAGCAGGGCCAAATTCGAAGTTAGATCAAGGTTGCTCATAATTACAATCATCATGGGCAGGTTCCTCTCCTTTATTTTCAGTATCTCAGAGTCAGTTATAGAAATGAAAACTAGTAGGCTCTTTTTTTTCAGTTGAACCGAGGAAAAGAACGTACAGATACTTTATACCCTAAAAAGGCTGTCAAAGATGGACAGTGTGATTTGCCTACTTCTTTCCACAAACTACAAGAGGGGAGTAATCATTATTCTAGACTCAAGATGATTTAATTTTCAGATACTGGAAGTTTGGTGAGATATTTTCTACACCACCCCTCATCTGGCACCAGTGAAATCGGTTACAATAAAAATTCACATCTGTTAAACGTCACCCCTCCTGTACTAGAGAAAAATCTCCATCTGGTATCTGGTGCATGGTGTAAGTCAAACAGAACCATGAAAGACTATTAACTATGTAAGAAAAAAGCATGAAATTAAAAATCTACCTTAAAAATTATATAATGCCTCATTCATGCCCAAAAGACTACTGTAAGATTGGACACGAAATGCTGTTAAAGCTCCACCACTATTTGTTGGCGACTGTCACCAGAATTTAAGCACTGAAAGGAAACTAGAGCAAACGCTGGAGATCAGTTTCAGAATGGAGGGCAACATACACAGGGCTTATGCATTATGTTTTGCCTGAGAAATAAAATCAGGATACAAGGAGAGGAGGGATTGTTACAGTGGAGCAGATGGCATGTGACAGCAGAACCATCTCCCGTGGGAACACAATAAATTCTGAAGCCAAGAAAAAGCAACACTGTGTCTCTAATATGAGACCTTAACAGGACATCCCCCTCCTTTTAGATAAAACTGATGACATTACAGTGTGCCTCACTTGAAGCCAGAAGCATCGCTGAGGTCGGAAGGCCCCTCTGGAAACCTCTAGTCCAAACCTCTACTCAAATCAGGGTCTATTACAGCAAGTTTCTCAGGGCTGTATCCATTTGCGTTTTGAATATATCCAAGGATGAGGACTTCACAACCTCTCTGGGCCTCCTGCCACCTTTGCTAGATTTCCTGCTCATTGGGATGGACCATTCTTGGTCTTGGAGGAGTGATCCTTGAACCAGCTCTCCTGGACCCCTCTTCTCACCAGGGCTGCATCTCATGGGATTCTTCTAAACAGATCCACAGCCAGGTCAAAGGCTGTTCTCCTGAAGGCTGGGGTTGCAGTCATGCCTTCTGCTTTTTTCCCTTCCTATCAGGATCCTGAACTCCATCATCTCGTAGTTGCTATAGCCAAGGCTGCCTTGGCATACCCCTGGCCAGTTCCTTGTTTGGAAATTTCAGGTCCAGCACAACTAATACAGTGAGACCTGGACTTGCACTGTTTAACTTGCCTTTCAGAAGCAACATTTTTCTGTGCAGTTTCTTGCTTACGAAATAACGTGTTTGGCATTTTTCACTTTAAATGGATGGAGCCCAGCTCTTCAGCTGGAGCAGACAGACAGCTCAAGCCGACCATTCACACAGCTGAATCGGCTCAGGCATTTACAGTATTTTAAGATGAAAAAACAGCATAGTGAAAGTCCATTATCTCTATGCCATCAGTGTAGTGTTCAGAATACCAAAACCTGTACATGTGCCTCAGCAAGGCACCTTTAATTTTGTGTTTCTTAATCAGAGTGAGTGTGTACAGAAAACTGAGCCATGAGCAAACGGATTTTGTTCCCTATCTGTCTGCTAGGAAACCTTCTTGAAGCCAACAAGTATTCCGCTCTAAAGGAAAGGGCTTCAATTGTTTTCAAGTTATAAATATAGAAAGTTTTTTTCACACATTTAAAAGAGATTTCCTAGAGGGCTTTTTTGTTGTATCTGTACATTAGAAAATCGACAGAGACATGTACAGTCAACTTTGAAGTTCTATTTTTCTTCTCAGACACTCAATAATAAACTGGGAACTGATGAATTGAGATATGAGCAGTAAATTTGAAAGTTAATCTTTAACTCTGTCTTCTTTTTATTTCTTAAAATGTGTCCTTTCCATGTGTAAATGTAATTCTCAAGTACATCTATACAAAGTATAATTTGCAACAAATTGGAATCCTTTTTTAAGAAGAGCCTACCGCCCCGTGCCCCTACTGCAGCATATAAAGACATGAAGCCTCCAGAACTAACTTGTTCTGAAGATCTTATTCTGGCTTTAATCAAATCCAGTGTGAATAGGAAGGCAATAGTGTCAGTTAATTCATCACACTGAGAGGAAATCATATTTTAAAGCACAGAGTGGCAAAGACAGGGATGAGCTTTCCTAATAATTCTGCATTTCTGATGTAACAGTGCTTAACCTTGACAATAGAGTGCAACTGATTGTAGGTCCAAAGATACTACATTCTGCTCTGTGTTCTGTCCTGCAGTTCTGAGCCTCAGGTTTCACCACTTTCTAAACTCTTCAGAAAAATTGTATCATCGAGGTGACAGATCACAGGGCAAGGAGTTCATATTTTCAGTCTTATTGCCCATTCGGTATTTACAAGACACATTTCTCCTGTGCGTCAGAGCAGATACCCCAGACAACCCTGGGCGGTGAGCAGGAAGCCGGGGGGTGGGGAGACGCGCGCACACACACTGGCAGCCGCTCTCCACAGTGTAATCAGCAGCCTTTTTCCCTATGCAGAATGCTAATAGCATCATTTGTTTTCTGCTGAATATCTTAGGCAGAAGCTGCAGGAAATGGGGATTTGATGCAAGTACAAATGTCAAAGGAATCATATTATGCTCTAAAAAAGAGTTTTATTAGTTATCAAAAAAGATAAAGTGGCTTCATAGGTCAAGGGGCAAACAACAGCCTTTAATTTGTACCCCTTTCTGGTCATTAAGATTTCTGCCACATCCACTGGTGACTAAAGCAGCAACTTGATTGCCCCTGTTCCTGGTGACAACACTTCCAGCTGCTCTGAGTTATTTTCCCTGCATACAAATTCACATATGCAAAATACTTGAGATTCCCATAGGACAGTTCCAGGACTGCAAAAGATAAACGAACTATTGGGATCATCTTACTGGTACTGCTCAAGCAGTGCTCCTTCTCTTTAGCCTGAGAGAGTAAGTACAAGCACTTAATGGAAGTCACACACATGTGTCAAGGGGTTTGTACAAGGACTTGTTGTTCGTTTCTGCTAGGGTGGGAACAAATTTGACTTGTTTGTTGAATGACTCCTATTGCTTCGTCACCACTGGGATACGGATCTGCGTAACACTTATGTTCTCCTTTGAGATCTGCAGAGCTGGAGCTATCTAGGGTGGACAGGCACGGCAGATCAGGTGCATAGCCATACTTCCAGTGCTGTTTCCACTATGACTTTGGGACTTGTTTTGATTCAGGCATGTTGTAGGCAAACCAGGAACTTAGTCAGAAGTACAATGGTTTTTAAAGGGGCCTTGGCTAATCCTAATACTCACCCTCAACACTCCTGAGAGAAAAGGCAGCTTCCCAGTTCCAATATTTATACAATCACAATTGCATTACAGCAAAAAGGAAGGAATTCTCACTCTACAGTATCCTTTAAATTCCCCATTCCCCTCTTGGCAGAACATACCTGATGAGGAATATATCGTGGTGACCGTGTTCACATCAGCTTCCATTACGGATGCACAGCTGGATTCAGTCAAGGAGCCTTTGACAGTCACGGGAGCAAGGCTGGGATGGCGTAAGGCAGCTTTCAGGGGAGCAATGTGGTTGTACTGAACAGAGGACAGGCAGCCAGTGAAACCATAGGCATTTGCTTTTGCGACTTCAGGGTCCAGCGACAAACTCTCTGCAATTCAACAGAAACACACTCTGGGCATTATCTGTTTTAGGAAAGGATTAATAAAATGAATACCTATTTGCCTTACCTACCCGTTTTACTTCTCTTCATCCCATCTCAACTGTTCAGGTTCTCCTTCAGCACCCTACAAGTCCTTCCTAGCCTGACCCATGTGGTTTTGATCCCCAGCCCTTCCTCTACACTGCTACTTCACTGAATCAAGTTGGCTGGGGATAAAAGCCTGCATTGTGCTTCTTTCCTCATCCACCTTCTCTGCTCTCTGGACAATATCTAACACATCACAGGTGCTAACCATGGAAATACCAATAATAATAATAAACAGTAAAAACAGCAACACTGAATATCAAGATCCTAGGGATGATGTTCGTTAACTTCTTTTGCATCTGTTAACAATATCAGTTTCACAGATACGGACCAAATCTTCAAGGCATTCTACCTCCTGCACTCTGTTAATGAAGGAGCCTGCTGTCTATTGTCTGTCATACAATGCTTCAGACATCCTAATATCCAATGGCTTGCTCATTTGGCTTCCACCCTTCTGCACAGCTTATTTTTCAACTTACTTACCTGATGCACTTAATCACGTTTCTACATATTTATAATCAAGAGTTCCTGGGAGTCCTCCTAGTTATGAGCCAGGCTCTCACCCTGCTACCCCATTCCGCTAATAAAATAAAAAGCAAAGCTATACCTTTTTTAATCAAAACCAAAACAAGACCAAATATCTCCATGCTCTTTTCCGGCCTGAAGCTGAGATAGCGCAATTAATTTATCTGTTCTTCTGTGTTCATTTAAGGTTCACAAAGAGAATGCCAATTCAAAGTTAAGTGCTTTTCATTTAGTTCCAAATGTTTTAATATCAAAGATTGTTTGGCAAAGTCAGTGAAGGACAATGAAACCATCTTCTCTTTCCTCCAAGCTCTCATTTATTTACTTTCCAGAAATGGAAATTCATACTGCTCAGAGGTCTGTAACATGAGGCACCTTATATCTAGGTCAATCAAACAAGAAAAAAACCCACAAACGCACAGATATACAGCAGCAAAACTTATTATTTTAAGTCTTAAAAATTACCAGTTAATGATAAGAACTGCAGTGAAAGTTTTGGAAATTCTTCCAATGACATTGGAAAATAAGGATTCCCAGCTTTTCAAGTTTATTTTCAAAGCTTGAAAAGGTAAGATAGTAAACTTTAAAATGAGGTTCAATTTTTCCACTATTATCCGAATACAACGATTTTACTAACTCTCAGTCAAAAGGATTTAGGAAAACAGTAGACCTTCTTTTCTAACTGACCTTTCTATCTGAATTACATACACTTATGTATAAGAAAATCTCAAAACTACCCCAAACGCATTATTTTGGTGCTCAAGACCTGTGAGCATTATGCCATGCAGTCAAAGGGAATTAGCTGAGAAAGATTTCCAATTGTGTTGAATGCCTTCATGGAAGTGCAGCGCGCAAGAGTTTGGCTGCTTCTCAGCAAAGCAAGGTACAGTGTCAGCTCGCTCTCCAAGGGGTCCTACAGGAGGAACGCTCAGTCTGCAGAGCTGTCACGGGGACAGCCTCTGGGCTGTCAGGAACTGCAAGAGAGAGAGGTGGGAAAGCAAACAGAGAGGCTTTGCCACTGGAAAAACTGTAGCTTTACAGAGGTTCACGTTTGCTCTTCTCCAAGTGTGTAGGAATTGGATGCATTCAGGTTTTTAATGAGATTTTGGCAGGGGTATTATAAAACACACAAAGGATTGTTTCCAAGTTTCTGCAAGAAGAATTATATAAAACTAAAAGACCGATTTACAGTATTTGCCATCTTTCTTGAATTTATAAAACCCTTTGTAAACACTGCTACTCTCAGCCTTTCCTGTTTTCTTAGCTCTGACACAAAAGGTGGATTTGTTGGCATCTTTTAGACATCAGGCAATCTAAATTGCTCTGTTCTGCCCCAATGTACAAAAGGTAAAGCCTAAGAAATAATGAATTCCTTTTTCATGGTACAGTAGTTCGAAAAGTCTAAGATACAGTACTTCTGAAGGCTTTCTTAAAAAGTTAAATTAAGGGCCAATTCCACGAGTCTTTTGTCAAAAGAAGTTTTGCATGAGCTAGGAGATTTGTTGTTGAAAGGCTTTGAAATTTGAAAAAAGAAGAAATCAAAGAGCAAACCAAAACCACCCCCAGAGTCCTCTGATAAACACCCCACGTGCACAGTTTGCTTTATTACACGGCTTCAGGTGCGTGCCTCATGTCCTCCCGAAAGTGGGGCTGTCACTGCTCTCCACAGCAGACCTGCACAACCTGGATGTGAACGACGTGTGCTGCTCTCTGGATTCTCAAGCGGAGAACATAAATCTGTGATTATGACATGGTTACCTCTGCAAAAGGTTTATTAAAGGCCACTCTGTCACTTCAAGTCTTTAAATCACGATAAAATGGGGTTTTTTTCCAAAAGTATTCTCACTACGTGACACAGCGCTCAGTAGGAGAAGCAACTTGGTTCTGCCAAGGTCTGTTGAAGCAAGGTCATAGGGAACATCAGTGGCCTTCCTCTGACCTGCCTATGCTGTGAATCTTTCGTGCCTTTGACTGGAAAATGACACTGGATCGCTGCTGGTGGCTTGGTTTGGTCCTCTGACATTTTAGCGTTGCATTTCTGTTGTCGGTACTGGAGATGGAGTTACTTTGGATAATTTCTACATGGGGGATGAGAAGGCAATCTTTTTCAGCCTGTAATTTAACTGTTCAATTCCCACAACTGAAGTTTACCCCTATTTTTAGGAAGTAACTTCTAAGCTTTGTCGGCTGAGTGGTGCATAAGTTGGTCTGGCTTCTTGCTGGGTCCCCTAGCTGCTACCTGGAAGCTGTCTGCGGTGTCACAGCTCAGCAAGTTTTGTGTCCATTTTGCCTCCCTGTTTTCCATGTATTTGCAATGGCTTTCTGTGTTTAAACTTTATCGATGGTATCAACATAATTTATGTGCTGATTCGTTCCCTTTCCTGTAAACAGACACCCTGACCCACTGCTGTTTCTTTGTGCAACTCTGCCACATACGACACACCTGTTTTAAGATCTTAAATAAATAATTTAACGTCTTGATGTCTTATCAATGGGGAATTAATTCTCATCATAAATAGAATTCCACTGGAATTCTCTAGGACCATGGTAAACGATAACTAATGCAACAGGTAACTGTCATCAAAGAGAAACAGAAAGTTGCGTGCAGGCAGAGTGCTCAGAAGACCCTTCTGTTCTAAGATACCACTGTGAAAAATGAAACCACAAACACTATCCAGTATCTTCTTGTTCTTTCTTGATAAACATCAATTTCATGTCACTCAGAAACTTTACTCTGAGGCCAAAGTTTACTTGTGTGCTCACGTCTGCGAAGGCCCCACCATGGATTTCCTGAATTGAAATTTATGTTTACTCTGAGAGCAGACATAGCCTTTTTTAAGATGTCTGTTCCCTAATTAATTAATTAATCTAAGTGAATCGCTGCTAGAAGCACAAAGGGTACTTTACCCTGTATGCTGAAGCACTGGTTGCCCTTTTCTTTGAGTCTGAGAAATAGAAAGATGCTTTTTGTGGGAGATAAAGTCTATCCATCACCTCATTTTGCCAAGGTGCTGAACAGCGCTGGCAAGATTACTTCTTGGGTGTTGCCAGTAGATTTGAGCCCCTGGCCTTGGAGTACAATGCTTTTGTAGTCTCCACTCTGCACCTAATCTCAGAAGAGCTGACTAGCAGCAACTGTGTAGTTACCTCGAAAAATACACTCCTATGTCCTTCAACCACCTCCGTAAACAGTGATGATGCTAATCATTAATTTAGAAAGGGCAGAAGCCTATCTTGGATTAGACTGGAACCCACAAAAAGGCATCTTTGGAATAATCTCATTTCCTGGTGTGAGCCTTCCACAAAGGCAGCAGAGTGAACAATCCAGGAATTTTTCCTGGTTAGAATAACTGAGCTCAACTCGTTTGGCTCTTGCTTAAGAAAAAGAGGAATTTGAGCAGGAGGCAGGCTCTGGGCGATCAATGCACCTCTGAGACACTTCTGAAAAAGCAAGGGACAGCAAGAGCAAAGTGAAGAGACATTCTGTCACAAGTTTTCCCAGGAACGAGCAGAATGTGCCCAGATTTGCTTGTCAGAAATGGAACATTTCATGCCAAGTGGAACATTAGAGAATTTTTGTTTCATTAGGCTTAGCAGAGGTAATTTCAGACATGCATTTAGTACGTTTTCTTAAAGACAGTTTGTCATCAAAAATGAAGCCCTGCTTGAATTGCAATGTGAAATTTGTTGCATGTCACCATTTTTGACATTTGAATCCTAATCTGTCACAACAGCCAGCCCTACGTGTGATTTTGCATGGGCTCAAAATACAATGTATAAAAAGAAGATGGAGAGACAATGTGCAAAATAATGCATACTTTTATCAGGAGCAGATGGTTCAAATCACCTCAAGTAGCAAGAATTCAGAGTAAAAATGGAATTTCTGGATATAAGTAGATGACCTTGGACATTTATTTAGGCAGTATTATCACCAAGAAAACAGGGATTTGAGCGTGGTGTTATGATCACATGGTAAACGATACTGCTGGGGAAAAAGTCTGAGAAGATTCGGTGTCTTTTTGATAGAAACATGATGGCATTACTGGCTTAAACCCTGGACTGCTTGAAGAGCCAGAGTTTGAATATTTTAACTGCTTGGTCCCAAATGCCTCTCCTCTTTTATTGTAGGTCACACTTCCATTTTCCTTAATGTTTTACTAGCCTCCTAAGAGGAAAACCACCGACTTTTAAAGGTGCTCAAGAATACAGCCATGACATCTTTTTCCAGGATATGGTCCTTCTAACAAATAGGTATTTTTAGGGCAAGAAGAGTCTGCAGTAAAGAACTTTGCAGTGACGAGAAGGGTCCAGCCAATATCTCTTGCAGCCATGGCTGGGCTGTATTGTTTAAAATGCTGGGGCACAATATTCCGAGACTGTGACTTTAAAATTCTAAGGTGAATTGTGATCTTGTGAGCTTAAAAAAGGAAAAAACTACTCTGACTTTCCACAAAAAAATGGACTTGAGTCTTTTCCATAGAAACTCTCTTAAAGGAGATGCTTTTTTAGGGAAGCTTTTGTATCTCAGAGTTAATGCCAACTTATTCCTTCTGATTTAATTATCTGTTATCATCTCCCCCAGGATAATATCACTCTTGGATGAATTGCTCTGTGATCTCTTCAGTGTACAGATTCCATTTTCTTCTTGTAAGCTTTTAACAAGAAAAGCTACTGCAGAAATCGCAAGAATTGTACTGCACCTACATAATGATTTTATTAAAATTACCTTCCAGATAAACTTTCTTCTACGTACATTTTATACCAAAGCTGAATGATTCAGTGGAAAGCCTCCTACAACTGGAGTGTGTTTTAGCTGAGGCTTTCAGAGATAAAAGATATCATGATCATGTGCTAGACCACACCGTTCTGTACATGGCCAGTGCGGGGAGGTCTGCTAATTCCTCACTTGGAAGACACGAGTATATTAAGCCAGCATTAATGGGTGCTCAAGAAACCTCTGCAACATTGTCTTCAGAATACTCCCGAATCCCTTCCAATGCTACCCTTTTACTCCGGTGCCACTACACAGCTAGTATATTGAATTGCTCAGAAGTAAATACGCACTCCATGAGATTCACTTCTCTGCACCAGTGACTATTTCTCCAGGAACTAAAATGGTGAAAGATTTAGACATGTTGGGGCACACTGAGAAGTTTTCAAAGATTTATTAAGGTCATCTCCAAAACAAATAAATGAGATTTTCCATTGGGATAGCAGCTTTTCCAGGACAAGACCTAAACATATGCAAATGTGTCTCTGAGATCAGAGAATTACAGAATAATTTGAGACACACCTCTGAAGGTCATGCAGTTCAATCCCTTGTTCAAAGCGGAGCCAGCTTCACAGCTCGGTCAGATTGCCAATGGAGCACGTGTGGTTAAGTACAGCAGCGTGACCTCTGAAAGGAGCACTGAAAGTAAATGAACTGGGACTCTGGTTAAGATTTCACTGAGGCTTTGCCATAAATTGTATGACCCACTTGGGGTCTGAATCCAGTACTCGCTGAAGTTCATGGAAAAAATCCCAATGATACTGATGAGTTTTGGATAGGTCCTTTTGTGTCTTGTCGCTATATTTGTGAAGTAAAAATGACAACAAACTACAGGATAATAATATTTTTCTGTGTCTGTTGGATACAGTGAGGATGAATTCAACAAACGTCCGTTGGCTACTTGAATGCTGCTTCTTTTTACTCCTTTGTCTTCAAAGCCACACTTATATTTAGATTGATCTTTCTAAAGAAGCTATATGGCCCCATTACTGTGGATCAGAACAGTGCACAGCCTTTAATGCTTTTATCCTCCTAGCACCCCTCTGATGTAGGGATGTTCTATTATCCACGCTTTACTGATAGAGAACAGAGATAGTAAAGCTCAGACTGGTTCCAGGGGGAATAAAATGCCTGCTTACCTTTATATCTGCACATAAATGGCTTGCCCAAGGTCATTCAAGCAGTCTGTGGCAGAGTGAGTATCCCTATGTTTTGAATTCCAGGTGAGCCTCCTCTGCCTTAAATGGAGGGCTTTTTCCCTGGAATTCAGAGCTGAGTGTAGGGCAGGCATTGGAAAATATAGCAGATTTGAAAAGCAGGAAAACATATCAGAGTTTAAGTAGCCTTTGACACACTGGAAGCATAATGGGACTAGGGGAGAGGGGTAGGGAGGAGGGAAGCACTATTATTTAAAAACTGGTCATTGTATAAACGTGCACTTTTCAAAAGTTCCAGCTGTGCTAAAATGGTTATCGTAAGAAAATCTGGCGAGGAAGAGTTTTCAAGCTTTTATAATGTCCTGCTGGAAGCTCTCTTGGAGATTTCTCAGGCAGTGGGAAGTGAATGATGGAGTCGAGAAGGAGGGCAGTATAACCAGCTGGTTACGCAGCCAGGACGAGGCTGTTAGCGCAGGCAAATGAACCGGTGTGGCAGGAAAGAAGAAGAGAGACACGTTTCCAGAGAGTACAGCATGGAGATGTAGGACACGTAGAACAGAAGTGTTCTCATATGGTTCTACTTCAGTGGACACTTTCACGTTCCTAAGGAATGCCTTCGGTTACCTAAATCCCAGCGGCATCCAAGCCAAACACTACAGGAAGTCTAGGTCTACTTGGGAGCATCACATGCCTCTGGAAGGTTATGCTTTCCTGAGGGGATGAACAATGACAAAGAAGAACTTGGAGGATGTTGGTTTTGGTCACCAGTATTCACCTTCTGGTGAGCCATCGTGACAGAAGCTATAGTTGACATTTCACCCATATAACAGCATAATGATGTATGGATGTGGTAATGTCAGTTCTACATTCCTAAAATGACAAGGGCCAGCTCGCCTCTCGACAGAACAGGCAATACTCTTGACCTGGCAGCAGTAGGGATTTTTGGGTTTCTGCTGCCCCTATTGGACAGTGTGCAACCTGCGTCAGCTCGGAGATGATACAAACTTGGGAAGTGAAGCTGATAGACCGGTGGGTTGTGCCACCATTCAGAGGGACACTGACAGCTGGAGAAGTGGGAAAACAGCGACCTCACGAAGTTCAACAAAGGAAATGCTCGTCTGCACTGGGGTTAGGAAGAGCCCCATCCACCAACGCTGGGATGACCAGCTGGAAAGCAGCTTTGCAGAGAGAAAGGTGACCACGAGCCAGAAATGTGCCCACGCAGCAAAGGCAGCCAATGACATCCTGGCATCCAGGGTAGCCTTGGGAAGAGCACTGCCATCAGACAGAAGGTGGTGATCCTTCCCCTACGCTCTGCATGAGTAACACTGCTGGAGTGCTGGGTCCAGTTCTGGGCTCCCCCGAGGAAGAACGACATGGACTTACTGTGAAGTACAGTGAAGGGCTGCAAAGATGATTAAGGGACTGGAGCATCTTTCATGAGGAAAGGCTTTATAGAGCTGGAAGTGTTCATCCTGGAAAGACGACTCAAGGGGATTTGTGATTCTGTGAGGGCACAAGGACTCTACTCAGCACAGCTACAGCTATGGGATAAAAACTGGAAAATGAAATCCTGACATAGAGGAAAAAGTTTGCAGAAATTTACTTAACAGGAAGAAGCAACCAGAATTAGGATTAGGCTGGAATTAAAGTGACTTACTGGGACGCATTGTGTGTACAGCAATAAGATCTCCCACCATCTGAACGGACAAGCTTATGGCTTTAGTGCCATAACTGAATATGAACTATATGCTTATTAGTAGTAGTATTACTAAAACAAAATACCAATAAACTTTGGGGCAAGAGAGAAATAACAGCAGGATATATGCATTAAAAGCTGTCTGGAGGCAAGTCTGTGGTGTTCAGTGGAACTGAATGCCAGACCTCTAGAGATACATCTGGATTTTCTGGCTTTGCAACAACATTATACTTGTCAAGTTAATCATATTTTTGTGACTAAATCTAGTTTCTCTTCCTGATGTTGAGCTGCACCTTGTCAGCTTGCTGGCTACGTGTTTCAAGGTCTTTGTGCTATGTTCCATCGGTTAGAAAAGCCTTGATTTATTGATTTGGTATCTATAGCTGGAGCTTTAGGTAGAGGTCATGATAAACAGAGCAGTGTTCTTTCAGGTTTCCAGCACTACAGCTGGCCATTGACAAACTGAGATTTTTAGCTTAGCTATGGCTTGGGCTGAAAAGTGTCAACTCCCCAAACCTGTCCACAAAGGCTTGGAGGATTGCTGCATTCTGAACAAAGATTAAATATAATTAAGGGGAAAATCAGTTCCTGCCCTTAATCTACTTAGTAAAACATGATGCAGAACGCAGTAATGTCATTATACACCATTATGTTGCACAAGCAGACACTATAGAGGATGTCTGCAGTTTCTATCTAGGTACTATTAATAAAATATATAAAACTGTAATAGTGAAGTAGAGGTCAGGCTTGATATGGAGGTCCAGTTCTAACAAAAGACTAAAATGTCTAAAACCAAGGAAGAATTTAGAATCTTACTGGGAAAGAATAAGACTCTTACATACTTGACAACAAAATAGACGAGTTCTACTTTCAAAACTTCCAACAGAATTTTCCTGGTCTTGTTATGGCTTTGTAGTGTAGAGGGGTAAAGTTCAAGAAGGTCCACGCAGGGAGCATGCGGAATTATGGCCTCAGGGCTATATGGAATCTAAATATTCCTTGCAGAATTCAAATGGAAAAGGACTGGGAATGAAAAAAGGGTAGAGAGGAGGAAGGCTCACAGTGCTGTTCTTATCATTAGGAAACAGAGATGGCTTGAGAGGAGCAAGCTGTAGTCAGCAAAACGGTATCATCAGGCTGAGATGCCACCCTCGGCAGCCACAGAGACACCATGAATCGCTTTACGGGAGGAGCAATGGGAGAAGTCGATATCGCTATCAGTGCAAACAACTAAAGCTCCAAATTTCTGCTCTGATGAGATATACAAATAGGAGTGCTGGAATACACCAGGCCAACTCTTACAGCTAAGCCCGCCAAAAAACCCCCAATCCTATTAAAAGCCCACCAAACAGCACAGGTTAACTCCAGCACTGTAACAACTGATGAATCAGGAATATTTTTAGTAGCACTTACCTGTGACCTTGCCCAAGGTGAGCGATTTGATGGCCTTAAAATCAATCTCAGAAAAGTTGTGTTTGAGTTTGAGAACTTGATCAACCTGGAAGAGGTCAATAAAATTAGCTGATTATAACAGCATGCTGACACCCCGAGATCTCTCCACACTGCCAACTTCAGGGAATGCTCTCAGCTGCAAACCAGTTAATTCTACCCCCAAGCGTGATTCAGTTTCTAAAGATAGCAAAGTGAATGTGCTTTGATTTTAGCATGAGAAGCTGAAGGTTCACCAGAATAGTCACATAAAGGGCTTTGAAGAAACTCCCCCTGCAGAAAAGCTTAAAATATTTGACACTGAAATCCCCCTGCTTGCCCAAATCCACATCTAGTCACTTGAGGATGCACCCAAAAGAGGCCTTTCTAGAGACGTATTGTGAAGAATTAGTTCTGCGTAGAAAACCACAGTGCAGAAAACAACAGGGCACTGGTACTTGAGGAAAACCCTGGCTTTTAGCACAAACCTCCTTCCTAGATAATCAGGCCTACCCGCCCTGGCCGCGCTGTATTACCATTTTACCACACAGGCACAGAAACTGCAGAGGAAGGAAAAGCTGCGGCGCTCCCCGTGTTTCCCTCTCCTCATTCTAGTCCTGAGAACACGGCTTCTCTGCAGACTGCCACACCTCCCTGTTCACTGACTGCCGTCCAGATCCAGCCAATTTGTTAAACTGCTATAATTAGTCTCGGAAGGAAAGCAGAATGAGCAGTAAGATGGTCGCCCTCCTCTCCCTGCCCCGGAAAAGCAGGCAATGCAGGAAAAGGCGGCCGAGGATGGCTCTTGCCTCATGAGGTTGCAACATTCATCGTGGCTTGCTTCAGGCAAGCGGACGGGGCATCGCCACGCGCGTGGCGGCTGCAGCCTGCGTCCCCTCGGCTCCTCCTTCTCTGTGAGAGGGTAAGGCGGCCGGGGTTTCATTCTCCCTTGGGGCACACACCTTAAACGAAATTACACTCCCAGGTTCTCATTCCTCAGTTGTTTTTCTTCCTATGGCAGCTTTTTAATGATCTGTACTGTGTGCTTCCTCTGGGACTACAGGTCACACAGACATCCCATCCCAAAGCCCCAGAACCACTCCAACGGTCCAGATGCACTTCCGGCAAAGGTGTGTCCTAACTCACAGACTGTCAGAGACAAGGGAGGGATCACTCAGCGGAAAACAGCACGGTTGGGCACTCTGAAGCAGGGTCTGGATGGAGCTCTGATCTCACCTACGGGGCCGTTCTGCTGCGGGACCAGCTTTGGTTGCACCAAACCAGTGCGAAACCTCTGCCTCCGGCTGGCGATCAGGCACTGGAATGAGCGTGACCGTCGGTGGCATGGCGCATTATTTAACACTCAGCATCAGCCGTGGCATACCTGAACAACAAGCTCTCTGCCCTCTCTGTTAATCTTCACACGGTGCAGCTCCCGGTTGGCAAAATTTCCAGAGTCAATGGTGAAAATGAGGAGTCCATCCTTACTCAGCTTGTATCGGACCTGTAAACTTCCTTAAAAGCAGAGCAGAATTCTATATATAAAACCTGTGCTCATAATGAGATACTGTTCAACATCTTTACACAACGTGTAACTCATTTCTTTTTATTACAGTGGAGTAACAAGGTTAAAAAGTCAAGAAAGAGGTTGAAGAGAAATGGAAGCGTTTAAACTGTAATGAGAAATGCGAAAAAAATAATGCACTAGAAGAGTTTTCCTTCCAAGTGGCTAACAAACTCCGTTACGGAGAATCATAACCGAATGGAGTCACTCAGTGTATCAGAGGCGAGCGTGTCTGTCTGCAGCTCGGGCTGCACGCTGCCACGCGGGCTGATGCACATCACCCTGCTAAGGACCGCTTCCAGCAGAGGGCACGCGGGTCTCGCACTGTTCCGTTAAACTGACGCCGGTGGGTTTTACTAGTCCTTTTCATCACGAGGCAACGGATGATGCAGAAGAGAGTGACAACTCTGAGAATTATAACTTAATTTCAAGCATTTAAAGGCCCAGGCTCATTATAATTTATATGCAATACAAGAAAAGATATATTGTAAATTATTATACAGAAAAATACTTTTGCTTTAGTGTTCTAACGTATTTGAAGAAATAAATATAATTCACATGAAAATGAATGCCAAACGTGTCTTTCAGTCTTTGTATAAAGAAAAAGCACTGTGACTTCTGATAAACAACTGTACCATAACAAATCAAAAATGCACAAGAAATCCAGTATGAATTTTAATCCTTCCACAAATGACTGCAGGGAAAATATATATTTATATACACACATATATATAATTTAAAAGGAAAAGAACCCATTCCGATAAAATCCTTTCAAGGTTACTTTTCTGGGAATTAAGAAGCAGGGATAACAAAAATTCTCTGAACTTTTGGAGCTCTTTTATGCATCAGCAACCAAACTACATGGAACAACAATGGTACCATAGAGTTAAAAAGCTTTTTGGTGGCTACTTTGTTACTGTCTCCAAGGAGAAAGCGAACTCCAACAGCACCACATCTCTGAGAAAAGTGTCCTTCACCTTCCCTGTTCTGAAAAATGTAATAAACCGCCCCCCCCTGCCCCATCTCCTTCGAATTCAGTGTTTCTGGTGGCACGAGTTCAGACTGTTCCAAACACCCCCACATTCTGCAGAAGGCTACAGGCACACCTTACCTATGCTGAACGACAAGGCCAACTGACTGTCACCGGGGGGTGTTTCAGCGTTCGCAGAGGCATCGCCTGGGCACGCATCGCGACACCAGAGAAGCCCACGGAACCTGCGTGAGCTGCTGCAGGTGCGCGGTGCACCGTGACGTCACTCTGAGGCACCCCTGACCCCAGAAGCAGTCTGGCAGTTCAATGAGGTGAATGAGCAGCCCGTGTCAGTGCTGCAAGGCTGCTGGCAGGCCCAGTGTCAGCGAGAGAGGGCACGGGGCAGTTCTCCTTCGCTACGTCACGTGGATGTACCTGCTTGCTTCAGCCTTCCCTTGTCCCTCAGTAAGGTCAGCTCTGTTGTCCTACAAGCTACTGTAAAACCACTTTATCAACAGCTTAAAGCAACATATAAATTCCTTGCAGAGAGGGAATTTTGCCACCCCTACACAACTCACAGTGCAGTTGGTGGTCCTCCCAGGGTGGATGCAGAGCTCAGTGAAAATCATCCCTTCTTCTCCCTCACCCGGATGCTTGGCTACTCAGGCTCCTAAAAGCTGCCCTTTTTATAGCATTCAGTGTATCCCAGATGAGCACTGCCACTGCCTGAGCTTTGAAGGATAGAAACAAAGCTTCCCCAAAAATGAGAATGAACTACTAGGATGAAGGCTTTTTAGCTGATTGAGAGGGCTGCTGGATCAGGTGAGCTTTTAAAGTGAAAATAAAAAAGGAGATAAAAGGCATTTACTTTCTCACACATAGTCATGGATGTTAGAAGGGAATTTGTGAAGAGATCAAGGTCAGTAACAACTGCTCAATTATTCAGTGTGATATTATAGGTTCCGATTCAGCTGCCCCAAATCATACTGCAAAGATCCCATCCCCTCACTGCACAGCCAGGACAAGGAGCTACTGTCTATCACCATTAATGTCACACATAAAGGTCCAAACTTAAATCACAACCCCATTTTCTGTACTGAAAGAAGGATGCATCAACAGGGAATAACAGTGTAAACATCTCACAAACACTTCACGCTAGAAGTACCTGAGAAAAGAAGACCAAGTGCAAGGAAGTTAAGGGACCTTCTTCAGACCTGCGCATCAGGGCAGTGGGAGAGTTGATAAAAAATTCAAAGGTTGCCTGACCCTGCACACCACAGCTCAGGTGACCACACAGAATGAGCTGAAACGAAGATGTGACAGTGTAATGGACTGGTCCAAACTGAAAGTCATGTGCCAGCGGGAGGACTTGGTAGACCTGGAGCCTTTGAAAGGGGCGTAATGCGAAAAATGGAACAGGGCCTAAATTTGGTCTGTGACCTTGTACTAGCTGGTTAGTTTGCAAAAGTGAAAAAACTTCGCTTTCTGAGTGTTATGAGCAGAGCAGGATATAAAATACGAGTAGTACTACTACATCCAGGTAATCGACACAGCAACCAGCACATCTATGTTCAAAGACGGGCAGCAAGAAGCAATCCATCCAGGTGCTTGGCTGCTGCAAACAGGGATTTACCCCTTGACTTCATGAGAGAGGCACTGATTTTAAACCAGAAACCATCTGTTCCATTTCTTGGGAGACAAGACATGGTTCTTGACATCCATTAGGAACGGATCTTACTTTCTATAGTGGTACAATTTTACCTTAAATCATTTGAAGAGATCAGTGAACAGCATCTTATTCAAATTGCTTTGAACTCCAATGGCAACTTTTTTTGGATGGCTGCTCTTCAAAACCATCGAATTTGAGCTGGCATTTTGCCTGGGGTCAAATCTGCATTATTATAAACCAGAAGTACAGGGGCTCATCTCTCCAGAGGTGTTTTGGAATTTACACTGGTATAGCTAAGTGCTAATCTTGGCTTGCATTCAGTACCAAAACTACTGTTTTCAGAGTACAGAATAATTTATCTGACAGATTGCCATTTTGCTACTTGACAGGCAAAATAAATGGATTATTAATTAAGATTATTATTAAGAATTTTTTTTGTCCTCTGAATTTTGATTATCTGGTCCACTGACTTTTCCATCACATCAGCCCAATGTCACTAACTGCAAATAAAAATCTGTGCATAAACCAGCACTTTTCTCCCTATTCTTTACTCTCTCACTATTTTGCATCATTTTTTGCCTCACAATAGGGACTCACACTAATCATGAGCAGTGTAATTTCTGGCAGTCTTGTTGCAGTCATGCCTGTCATCCTCCTTTCAGCTCCCCGTGTCTGAGCACGCACACCTGGAGTGCCATAATGCGCAAGCAATGCACTGCCTGTTGTGTTTTCTTCCTCCTCTAATGTATGTGGAATTGCTAGAGGCAACTTCTATTAAGACCATAGAAGAGGGAGGGAAGGAAAGAGAGAGGCATCATGTTTTTGGCCTTGGGCTGGAAAATTGCACTGGGAGTATTACTCCGGCAGTACTAGGTAAGAGTAGATTCACACTTGGTTATTACAGTCATCCCTTTCAGCTTCAGATTCTGCAGATCAGGATGGAGATATGCTGTGCTAGCTCCAGAACAGTCCTAGAGGGGAGCAGGCATAGTTTAGCCACAGTGTTACCGAGCCCAGTGCGGCCTCTTTTTGCCATTTCTGGAGTAAATGAGTCCACGTGGGCTGCCAGGCTACTGCAGAGACCAGTACCAAAGCTGGCTTGCTACACAGCTTGCTACTGTGGCCTTCAGCCTGTCATCTGAAGGGCTGAATGACAACTCTCTGCTGATATCAAACAGCTACAGAGTCATTTTAACAGGATTCCTGGGGGTCCCCCTTGTGCAGAGGGAGGTTCTGAGACCAAAGGGCAGTATCTATGCCATCCCATGCTGGTGACTAGGTTAGGGATGACTTTTCTGAAACAAAACACTCCCAGGACGCTCTCTCAGTGGTGATGGAGGCCAGGGTTCGTACTTGCCGGCAGTACACTAATGACTGGTGTCAGCATAAACAACCTCCAGGCAACTACAGCACAGCACCTTCAAACTGCCTCTATCTTTTTGCTGAGTACAACAAAGTACTAGCAGCTCTTAAGTCTGGTGGTAATAGGGACATTAAACTGGTTAGAGATTTTGAGGTGTTCAGCCTGAAGAAGAAAAAAAATATTCACAAACAGCACAGTGTGAAGTACCTTGGCCATGATGTTACATATTTTATGTCCAAAACCTGTTCTGATTGAACATGTCAACAGGAGAGCTGTCCTTCTGTCGTCTGTGTCTACAGCAGGGCCGGAATGGAATGTCAGAAACATCTGGCGGCTCTGTGGCTTACACCCACTAAATTTACATTCACTCGGGACTGCCAAAGCTGGCGTTGAAAATCAAACTAATTTTTAAATCATCAGCTGGAAAAGGGAGCATGGGAAGATGTTACAGAGAGCGTTCTAGCTCAGGAAAAGACTTCCTAGCTTGAAAGATCTCACCCCAGTGCTAGATATTTGGCAAAAGGTTTAAGTAGCTCAGCAGAAAACAGACAAACAAATGGATACCAGGAATGTGATCTACAAATCCATCATTCATAAGCAAGGTCTTTGTCACACGTGTCACCAGGACCACAGGTCTTGTGTCATTTAGTCTCGAAGAACCAAACAGGAAGGAAGGGGATGACATACCCTTGGAGTCTGAGACTTCTCTGCAGGACCTTCATTTACAGAAACTGGTTTTAAATGAGTCCAGATTGAACCCAGCATCTCCGCCAACTTCAACAGCACTTTTTAATGACTTAAACTGGCTGAAGCAGCTGGCAAGACATCTTGCACCACTCGGAGATGCCGAGTTAGTTCAGGGAGCACATGTGGGTGGCACACGTAAAATGGGCGGCTTTGTCACCGTCATGTAGCGCCAGGAAAAATCATTTAAATCAGGGCAACTGAC